GCCGCCTCCATGTACATCTATCAGTTCACCCGCTCCTCTTGTGGAGTAAGGTACATTTGCCGTAGCCAGAGGACGCCGCTTTCCACTGCACGGATACGAGAACATATTCCAGCAGCAGGGTTTTACAAGGGAGAAAGGAAGTGTGTGTGAGCGAAGCTCTATACTGGAACACCTGATCGACTTCTGTCACTCTCTCAACCCTGACCATGATTTCAAGATCATATATAGAACCCATGGTAACTTGTTAGCCGCGTTTTCTTCGTTACAGACTTCTAAAGACAGCTGAGGCTTTGGAAATTTATTCATGAATTTAAGCCAGGCAGACCTTTGTGTACAAAAGAAGTATGTACAATCCCTACTTCTGCCTTGGCCATAGAGGGATAGACATTTATTTATTTAGTTATTCTAAGTACTCTTCCCTTATTACTACGATTTTTATTAATATTATTATCATTATTATTATTATTACTGTTCTCACTTTGAATCTTTTCCACTTGACATTTTAAACCCAAAATTATTAATTTTTATATTTTTATTTTTACAATATTGAATTCTATCTTATCAAATTTCACACCATGTTATGTAATATTTTATATTCGTCTACTAATCTTATAATAATGTACCCCTTTCCAACAACATCTATACACCTTATGTATTATTATTCTATATATGACATCAATTGCTTTGCTACTTGACATTTAACTATGATCATAATCATAAATATCTCAATTGCAATTCATATTGCTACCATTATTTCATGTATTCACACCTTGGACCTAATTCCCTCACCGGATATAATTTCTTTAAAACCCATATATATATATATATATTAATTAAAAATCGTTTATCTAAATGTATTAAACGTACTTTTCCTGCAGCTGACTTACGTCTAGTTTTTATCAGCCGAAATATGATTAGACAATGCGTCAAGGATAGATTACCGCTTTTGTCCACATCTATGTGTATTTACTCTTTTACCTGCTCTTGTGGAGCTGTTTATATTGAACGTTGTTAGGGTATTCTCCGAAAACGTGTAGCTGAACACTATCCAGTCTGGTTAATGAAAGGCGAACTTAGAACTGCGAAGTCGTCTATCTGTGATCACCTGTTAGGGTCAGGTCGTTTAGCTCCACGTGATTCATCTTTCAAAGTTATCTACATGGCAAAATCGAATCGATCCAAAAGTTTACGTTTTCTTCACTTATGCATACATAGCCGAAGCTTTAGCTATACATGAACAGAAACCTAAATTACGTGTTCAAAAACGTCTTGTCAAGCCCCTTTCTTTACCTTAGTCATGGTAATGTTCTTTCTAGTTTTTACTTCATTTTATTTTACCACTTGAATTCTTTCCACTTCACTTCACATCTTCATTCTTATCGTAATCGTACTCCAAATTTTTTAAAATTTTTAGACAACACTTGACATTTTTAAAACATTTTTGATTTCAATTCACTTATAAAACAATCTTTAATAATTTTGTAATTTATCCACTTCAACTCTACCCCTTATAACATTTTAATTATCGTTATTCTTATCAGTTATATATGTATATTGACTGAGCAATTATTTAGTGCCACTTAATGACCTTTTTTCTGTAATATAAATACGATTGTACAGCTTGAAGAGAATAAATTCGTTGTTGAAAAGAGGAGTCTCTTCGCTGAATATATCTGGTGTTCTTAATAACATCATTTCTCTGTGATTTCAACTGTCACATAAATTGCATTCTTTGTCAAGCAAGCAAGCAAGCAAGCAGACAACGATGCCTTCATATTTCGCTGTTATTTTTGTAACTTTGGAAGATAGTTCACGCGTCTAAAATGCAATAATTACGGAGTCTTCAGTAGCACTTACTTGTAAACGATCTAAACATTTCCTCTGAATAGTGTTTTCTTATCAAACATTTGTTCCAGCACCATCACTTTGCTAAGAAATTTTAAGTCGGATTTGTAGCGGTAAATAATTCCCCAAAATTATTGACCACAGCAATCATCACTCAACACATTGGATGCTGACCATCACTGTTTAAGTCGACTTGTTTAGCTGAAGGCTTCAGTTCAGGTCAAGCATCCTTGCCATTTGCTATTCAGTTGTGTCACGTGCTTGCACGATCACTAGGCAGCTAGCTAAGCATTCACTCGATACGGTTTACTATCTGGTCCCGAAATATATCACGTACTTTGGAGGACGACTAAATCTGGTCTTTTGCTTTGTCTTTGGTACACGACAAACGAATATTATAGAAGTTGTTGGTATAAGATCTTGCGTCACTACTATACTCCGTACAATTCCCGAAAGTCGATACCGTCAACCTCTAAAGAGATTCATTTTCATCACCTGTGCCGTAAGGGATAATACCATCCACAACTTCGTATGCTTCCGCGTTTCAAAATGAATTTCAAGAAGTCTCTCTTTAGAGCAGATGATACTTCAGATGTGAGAGGAAATATCAGTTGCAAGTGTGACTTCCATATCTATCATAGACACGGGTATCTCTTGAAGAAATCCAAAATGTCTTGGTGATGTGAAAGCGAATGATTATTACAAGTGATATGACATAGGTAACAAATGTACTAGTAGAAGGAGGGACCTACAGGCTACACTTCGACATTTCAGAAGGACTATGCACTGTATTCTTCTTATTCGAATGCACACTGATATATCAACAAGATAAGTCGGTTCCCGTTGATGCAGTAAGCAGTAACGGTGTTCCGAAGTTCCATGTGACAATGTAAATTTCACTATATTATCACATCTTATGCTGAGCAATTATTAGCATGAACTTCAGTAAAATGCACATAATCACTGCAAAATTCAGCGTCTCTTGTCTCATTCACCCGATGATTTCTTGGATGTGTTATGAAGAAGTTCACTCATCATGGATGATAATGAAAATGCTCACTCGCTTAATCCATTCCGAACAGATATCTAACTAACACTTCTGTCTGTGTGGACTTATTCTCTCTCTATCAAAAGGCCGAATCTTTTACCAGAATAACTGCCATGACATTACATTAACCGGCCGTTGCCTGTAGCCAATTCAAATCCTGAAATCACTAGTAATTATCGAACTTTTAAGGCTCCCAAACCAAGAAGATAAAAGTCATTTATTTGTATAATTATTTCTTTAAGTGCATGCCTTTCTTCGTAATATTGTGTCTGGGGTATCAAGGAATTTTACGCATTATTGCGTATGTAATACAAGAAAAAAAAATATCGGTCTTTTCGCCTGCAGATGCCTGAAACAAATCAAATATACCTCATTTTCCCAAAAATGAACGCTTATAATGCCTGAAAAGGCGTGAAGACGATAACCCATACAGTGAGCGAGCAGAATACATCACGGTAGAGTTCGTCCTCACCCTGGCTGAGAAGATACCTACACATCACTCCAAGTTCCATGTAGCCTGAATACTACTAGCAATTTGACAACAATCATATATTTATATTTCGTATAAACGGGTAAGTTTACAAGAAATTCCATGCCATTTTTACAGGCACGATCAGTTATTTTATAAATTACAATCGTGAAGTATCATAAATTAATACTTTTTCAAAAGTTCAAATTGTTCGACAATGGTACAAGCGATCACAACAGGCAGGTTCTTGGAAATGATCTTAACCAGTGAAGTGAAGTGATGGATGGATTGCGAATTCCACATGAGTACACCTTCTCAAAGAGAATACTGTGAGACACCATGTCAAATGCCCTAGGTATATCGGAGTAGAGAATAATAATAGTAGTAATAATTTGCTTTATTCCAGAAACAGTACTAGTGGTTCAGTGTGGAATTTTCAGCACATATCTACAATATTTGCATCTAATTTTATCAAACATTTAATAGGAGTATTTCCAAAAAATAATAAATGTAAAGACACCAACAGCAAAAAAACAAGAGGAAAATCACAGAAGTAATTTTCAAAAAATGCGAAAAAATATCAAGAAGTAGAAAGTAAAATAAACGTCATATAATAATAACTCGGTATTGGGTAGTGGAAGCAATGAAATGATTATGCATGGTGACAGTAAAGCTATAGTCATACAAGAAGTTATGAAGTAATATTTAAGAAAGTTTATCGCCAAGTTGATCAGTTAATTTGGTTGAAGCAACTCTAAACAATCATAAAATAACATTTCAGGGTTGTTTTTTTATCAGGTCTAATGCCGTGTTTGTAGTAGTAGTGTGAGTAGTCCTGCATAATACAAAATATTTTTTTAGGGTGGTGACAAATTGCGTTCACAACCAATGATTGTCAGTTAATATTGCCGAAAAGAAAGTAAAAAATAAGAAAAAACAACCAAAAAACTAATAATTACATGATGGTTAATGACAGGGAAATTTTGTAATTCTCATAGTGCTAATATAGTCGGAACCAGTAGATACACAGAAGAAGGAATACAGTAAAGTACAAAAAAGTAATCCAATGGTAATAATTTCGGCAGCTAAGTACGTTTAGAAGGTGTTCACTATAGAATACAAAATAAAAGAGCCTAAAATTATGTTCTTAACAACAAAGCAAGTCATAGGTTTCACGCTTAACATTATCTCTGTCGCTTAGAACACGGGCCAAGAATGGTATCGTTGAGTTCCTGTACTTGGTTATACAAGCATAGATTATTTTATACTGATTTCTGGTTCTACCTGATGAGATACAAGAATAGAGTTGGGAAAGGGGGGTGTTGGGAGTCTGAGAGTATGGTGTTAGACCATTTTTCACATGTATTCAGATGCCTTTCCGCTAATGTAGTGACGAGCTGACTGAGTTTTATACCACTAGTCCTACTAACTACCTTCAACATCCTTCTCAGGATGGTATAGTCTTTTTTCAGTAGACCAGAAAAGACTAACGGGAAGCAGTAAAGTAGAATAGGTAAGATACAAGAGTTGACAAATTGTGAAAGTAGAGGTTGGGTGATTCCAGATTGTCTAAGTTTCTTAATGTAGTAGGTTAGGCAGAACACTTTCTTAGAAATCGTTAGGATATGAGATGTCCAAGTAAGGTCAGAAGACAGAACTAGATTTAGTTTCAATTTTAGTCTCCTCAATGCAGCAGGCTTCATGAGAACTTACTAGTGTTTGTAGATCTCGTTTATGCCTAAGGGAGAAGTCAATAGTCTGGCATTTTGAGGGATTCAGCATGAGACCATTTAGTTTGGACCACTGAATAATGTCCGACAAGATGCTATTTAATTTGAAACAGTCTGACTGAGACTTAATGGGAAACGATACAGACAAGTCATCTGCATATTTGACGAAGTTGATTTCATCTGGAAGAGGTAAATCATGTAAGAAGAAGGAAAAGAGAAACGGAAAGAGAACAGCAACCTGAGGAACTCCAGCTTCAGTAAGCAAAGGAGAGGAAGATACGCCATTATAAACCGTGTCCTGCATCCTATTAGAGAAGTAAGATTGCAGCCAGTTGATAGCCCAGCGCTCAGTTTGTGTAAGGCTAAGCCTCTGTGTACAGAGTCGAAAGCAGATGTATAGTCAAGGAACGTACAACGGACATACTTGACCCCTTTGTCTAAGGAGGATACAATGTTGTGATGAAACACAGCAGCAGCGTCCAAAGTACTTCTACCCTGTTTATAAGCAAACTGCTTTGGATCGTTTGAGAAACTTAGGGAGGGAACAAGTCTTAGTAACAATAATTTCTCCATTAGTTTCAAAAAAGGAGAGGTAATAGCGATAGGTCTAAACTTAGCATTATTACCAGAACCTGACTTGGGTACAGGGATAATTTTAATATCTTTCCACAGAGAAGGTACAACATTATTAGAAAAAGAAGTGTTGAAAATGTTTGTAAGTGGGTTACTTAAAATATCAGCACATTTTCTTAGGACAATGGCAGGTAAACCATCAGGACCTAGACTCTGGGAAGGTTTAAGAGATTTTAAACATTTAAGAACATCAGAAGTTTTAAAACTAATAAAGTCACTGGTCATGTTATTTATTACATTGAAGCTAAAAGGTACATTAGGAGGGCGAATAAAAGATCTATTAAGAGTATTTACATCAATAGAGGGGGCACAAGAACTATGCTTACCACAACCTGTAATTTCTTTGAAGAGCTTCCACATGTTCCCTGGAGTTTTACATGACAAAATTCTTTGATTATAAATATTGTTAAGCCTCTTGATTTCGGATTTAATTTGGATGTTTATCCTCCTAAGACCAGCTTTATCCTTAGTCTTGTATAGTCTCTCTTTTTCTCTTCGAAGCTTTTTGAGATGAGGGGAAGAGAAACGGTCTATTCTTTTGAAAAGTATCTGTTTTGGACAGCATACATCAAGGCAGAATTTAAGATAATCAGTCAGATTGGAAATAGTATCATCCAGTGTGTATTCAGTGAAAAGTTCCCAGTTTGTGTCATTTAACATACATCTTAATTTGAGCACGTTTTTTTGCGAGTAACATCTTTGTTGTGTTTTCCTGGAGAGATTCGAGAGGATATTGGAGTGAACAACGACTAGCTTACGTACTTCGCGACTACTAGTGATGGAGTTGGAAAAGTCGAAGTGACAAGTGACGCAGTACCTATTTTTGAGAAATCCATGTTGAGACCTTGTAACAAGCAGATAGTCCCTAAATAGATAGTCTGATAATTGATCTTTGACAACTTCCTCCACGATTCGCGAGATTACTGGCGTTATATATTTATAGGTCTGTAATTGCTTGCGAATGTCTTCCCTATCACCAGGTTTGTAGTGTGGAATGGAATGATGTAGCCAATTTTCCACTCATTCATTAAGGCAAGTGCCAGTGTCCACAACAGATATTGAGATGCATTTAAGTAGTAATAGGGAAAGACAATTGATCTTAATAGCAGGGAGCTAGTAAGGGGTGCTTTCACCATGGGTGTGCACCACCTCTAAACTAAAGTTCGCAAACCACTCACTGAGAAGGTCACAGATGCTGGCAGGCTTATTGTAGATTACTTTGTCGTGAAGTAAATAGGCGATGTCCCTCGTTGACCGCATTCGCTTTTTAACAAGTGTTGTGAGGTTATAAACTTTGGAGATACTTTTGACTGCACTTAACTCTTCGTCGACGTCCTTTACAGAGCGTAGGCACTCGATGGATTCAAGTGACTCGTGGACTGGGTGCAGTAGTCATATATCCTTAGTGGAATAGTTCTGTTTCATCAACTTCCTTAATTTATTGCGGTGTGCCCTTGGAATGTATTCAGCTTGGTGCCTACTTAATTTCACTACCTTCTCAGGAGCAACAGTATCTAGACAAAGGGTAACACTCCTGTAAAATAGGGACACTACAGCCTCCAGGGAGTCAGTAGTAAAATAGTCATCCCATTGACAGAGTCCAATGAGTTATTGGACTAGTCCCCAGTATATTTGTAGGTTTGTAACTACGGTATATCATGCTTCCTGAATGTTGTTTCTTCCCTGTATTTAGTGGTGGGAAAGGCAGAGAGCAGAGTACCATTCTATGGTCACTACTGGAAAATCTGTTACCAACATAGGTGGAACCTCGCCTAGATTTCTAGCTCGCTAGTTTTATAGGCGGTCCCAAGCCTGGATAAAGAAGGAGGGTTGGGGCGTGATGCTAGCAACTCCACCCACAAAACTTAACCAAATTGCTACAGAAACTTCAACGCACAAATATATTAAAAATTCTAAAAATATAAACAATAACCTTATTTTTCGCTGGAATCGGGGAAGTGAAATGACGCAGGCTGGTGAAAGCCTTCGGGAAGCCAGTCAGCCGATGTGCCTTCTTTCGATCAAAGCAAAAATAAGGATGGGGACGTGGAATATTCCTACAATGTACGAAACTGGAAAGGCTGCCCAGGTAGCCCAGGCAGAAATCAGAAGATATAAAATAGAAGTATTGGGAATCTGCGAGAGCAGATGGAACGGATGTGGAAGGTGCCAACTATCAACTGGAGAGACAGTAATCTATTCCGGTCACACACAGAGGACAACCACGAGCACACCGAGGCAGTGGCCATCATGATGTCAACAACAGTAGCCAAAGCTCTCATGCAGTGGGAACCAATCTCCTCCAGGATAATGACAGCTAGGTTCAACTCAAAAGGAAGGAAGGAAGGTTACAATCGTTCAATGCTATGCGCCTACAAACGTCTCAGAACAAGAGAAGAAGGAGGCCTTCTACACACAACTTCAAGCAGTAATGGACAACATCCCAAATGGCGATATCAGAATCCTGATGGGTGATATGAATGCGAAGCTGGGAGGAGACAATACAGGAAGAGAACTCACCATGGGTCACGAGGCCCTCGGTGAAATGAACGACAATGGTGAACTCTTCTCAGACTTCTGCGCCTTCAATGATTTGGTGATTGGTGGCAGTGTGTTCAAATACAGGGATATACACAAGGCGACATGGATTTCACCAGATGGACACACCAAACACAAACCAGATAGACTTCATTTCAATCTCAAGGAAGTGGAGACGGAGCCTACTGGACACAAGATCGAGGAGAGGAGCAGATGTGGGTTCACACCACTATCTAGTACAAGGAACTTTCAAGCTGAAGCTAAAAGCCTCGAGGATAGCTGGGGATAGGCCACAATGTAAGTTCAACACTCAAAAACTGAAGGACACAACCACAAAGGACACTTTCACTGCAACTGTCAGAGCAAAGCAGGAAACACTACGTGACATCACTGAGGAATCATCCGTGGAAGACCATTGGAACTCTCTGAAGGTGATTTTCAACGAAACCTGTTCAATGGTTTTAGGAAGAAAGAAGAGACAAGACAAGGAATGGCTCTCAACGGACACTTGAAAGCTAATAGAGGAGAAATAAATGTTCTAATAGAGGAGAGGAGAATGGTGAAAGAGAAAATGATTCAATGCAAAGACGGGCAAGAGAAGGAGACGCTGAGTTCAACTTACACAGCACTGGACAAAGAAGTGAAGAAGAGTGCTAGGAAGGACAAAAGACAATTCTACGACAATCTGGCCACTGAAGCTGAGAAGGCAGCAGGCAAAAGGGACCTGAGGACATTATATCAGATAACCAAGTCTCTATCCGGGAAGAGATCAACACAATTGAAACCTATAAAAGACAGCCAAGGGAACCCAATTACCAAGGAAGAAAGACAGATTAAACAATGGGCGGATCACTTCAAAGAACTCCTGAACCGACCACCACCTGCAACTCGTCCAGAAATACCAACAACAGCGCGTACACAACTGCAAGTTGACACCAATCCTCCAACGAAAGCTGAAGTCTCGAATGCAATCAAGCTTCTGAAAGCTGGAAAAGCAGCTGGACCAGATGGAATACCTCCTGAAGCACTGAAAGCGGACCCGGAGACGACAGCAGATATGCTGACTCCATTATTGCAAAAGGTCTCGAAGGAGGGAAAGCTGCCTACTGACTGGAGGAAAGGTTACACCTTGTGAAACTACCAAAGAAGGGCGACTTAGGCCTCACTCTGCAAGAACTGGCGAGGAATCATGCTCCTGTCGACGCCAAGTAAAATCCTGAGTCGCATCATCCTGGAGAGAATAAACGACGCACTGGATACAGAACTCCGCCAACCAGAACAAGCTGGGTTCAGGAAAGGCAAATCATGTTCTGACCAAATTGTAATTCTATGCATCATCATCACAGAACAAAGCATGGAACGCCAATCATACCTCTATCTCAACTTTATAGACTTTGAGGAGGCCTTCGACAGCGCAGCGTTCACCGCGAAGTAATTTGCAAACTACTCGAGTACTACGGCGTACCCCAAATATTCATCAACCTTATTCAACAGCTGTACGATAACGGCACATGTCAAGTGATCCACAATGGAAAACTCAGCGAGGCGTTTGGAGCAAACACAGGAGTCAGACAAGGGTGCTTATTATCGCCAATGATATTCCTAGTTGTGGTGGTATGGATTATGCTGGTCAGACAGCGGGAAACGAGAAGACAGGGATATCCTGGACTGACGTGAAGAACCCAGAAGACATGGATTTCGCGCATGGATGATTTCTGCTTGATGTCACACGAAATCGAAGACATACAAACGAAAACCGACAAACTGGTCGAAGAAGCAGCAAAGACAGGACTCCAGGTGAACATAGACAAGACGGAGGTTATGAAAATAACCAACCAAACAACCAACCAACAACAGCAATATCCAGTGCCAATCACCATCAACGGGAGAGATTTGAAAGAGGTTACTTCATTCACTTATCTAGCTAGGGAGCATTGTCTCAACTACAACAGGAACGGACGGGGATGTCAAATCGAGAATCGGGAAGGCGAGAAACACATTCATCAACCTGAAACCAATCTGGAAATCATCGTCACTCAGCAAAACTCAACAACAAAATTCGGATTTTCAATACAAACGTCAAGTCAGCCAGTTCTTCTATTCGGATCAGAAACTTGGCGGGTCACAAAGAATATTTCCAACAGGTTGAAGAACTTTACCAACAACTGTCTTCGTTCTATACTCAAGATCAGATGGCCACAGGAAAGAACAAGAACCAACAAGGAACTATGGGAACAAACAAACAAAACAAGAACCAATCGACCAACAAATATGCAGGAGAAAGTGGAGATGGATTGGACACTCGTTGGGGAGGCCACTCGCTGGGTGACATCGCGCGTCGTGCCATCGCTCCAGTGGAACCCGAAAGGAAAGCGGCGAGTAGTTGGACGTCCAAGGGTGACATGGAGGAGATCGTGCGAAGAGGAATTGAAACAGTATGAATTAACATGGACGCAGGTGAAAAGTACAGCAGGAGACAGAAGCAAGTGGAGACGTGTAGTTGAAGCCCTATGTTCCACTAGGAACCCAAGGGAACAATAATAATAATAATATCAACATAGGTGGAGACTAGGATTGTGTAATGACAAAACAGAAGGTCCAACATGTTGTCACCACGTGGAGATTTCTGGACGTGTTTTTGCCATCCATAGCAATCGATGGTGGCAAGTAATTCGTCGAAGCGGAACTACTCAACCAGCTGACGTCTGCAAGATTGAAATCTTCTCCAATTATTTTGTAATTAGTACTAAACCAGGAGGCGTGTGCAAACAATTTAGCTAATAACGCATCAGTTTCTTTGCTTGAGAATGGTGCTCGATAAACACAGCCTCTGAGAAATTTGTACTTATCTCCATGCAAGACGATCCAGAGGGAACCAGGTACCTCGTTCACTATTTCATTTTCCACCTTACTGACTACGAATGAGTTGGGTATATATATACATATAGGAATATACATGTATATATGTATATCACAATCTCGAAGACTCACAGGTAAAAACCACCGAGTTAGAAGAAAAGGACATCAGCAGAGACTGAAACTCAAGTGAACATGGAGGTGATGAAGATGCCCGACAACCGACAACAACAACAACGGCAATAACAAGCAGTCATCACTATCAACGCAGGAAATGTCAACCGGACTACTTCCTCATTTATGTAGTCGCCGCCGTTTCCACTACACACATACACCACAAATGAGAACGTTAAAACCAGAATCGAAAAGACGAGACAGACAGACCTCCATCACTCTTGAATCAGTTTGCAAATCTTATACACTCCACAGCATACACAACAACAATTGGAATTTCAACGACACTATTAAGTAGTCAGTCAGTTCTTCCATATCGGTCAAACACTCGGTGTGTGCGTCACGAAAAGCATTTCCACCAGCCTGCTGCAGACAACTATCAACAGGTGTCTTCGCCAGCTCCTCACGCAACATGCCTCACATGCCAGCCAGTGTGAAGCATAAGCGAGAAAAAATTCCGGGAACGAACCAACCAAGAACCTATTGCACAACCGACAAATATTCCGAAGGAGATGGGTCGGACACACACTAAGGAGACCGCCGAGTGGAAGCGCACGCCACATCACCATTCTTGTGGAATTCGACGAGCTGCGCTTACGTCTGTCTGATGGTCACATGGAGGAGATCGTGTGGAGAGGAGATGTGACACTATGGGGAATCGTGATTCCAGCTAGTGACAACTGAATAGAAGAGGATGGAATGCAAATGTTCAATTGGAGCCCCCTATTTTCTACTTGGAATCCAAGGGAACAATAATAATATATAAATAATTTATTCCTATTTAGCTTCTTCGCAAATTGTTTCCATTCACTTTTCCACCCTATTATTAGTAACGACTTAATGTGTGATGAACAAAGTTCACTTTAACAAGTAGACTCGTGTGAAACAGGAATCCACAGTCTCTCAGTAACCAACCATCCAAGGGAGCTTCTCTTCCACTCGTTGACTCTATCTATTATAAACCAAGTTTCCGCTTAGCTTTCAATCAAAAGCCATTACATCTGAAGTGGTTTCAGCTAGTTTTACCAACAACCGGTAGTAGTAGTGTGGCGTGTGCTACTGACAAGACTTATCGGTGGTAGTACATTAAGAAACGTTCATCGGAACAAAATTATGAAATAGCCGAGAGACAGATTTGACATCAAAAAGAGAGAGAGAGAAAATGAACCAGTACTGAGCCAATGCATGGAAGACTCGAACACAAGACCGAAAACAACACGAAACAGGCAGTAATAGCACAACACTGAACACCTGTACAGCAACACCTGACGATTTTCATATAACGTGGTGTGCATAATTCCCCTATATGTGTATATATAATTCCTAATAAACACACCCTTACAAAGTCTCTTGCCTTCCACCGTTACATTTGGTTTCGCTTCCTGCTGCTTTCCAAGAAGCAAGCTTCTTATGGAGCTTCTTGCAGCTCTTCCGTGCAGTCACCGTGTTCGTAGGCATCACCATCTGACAACGAAGGTCGTTGTGCTGAGGTCGGGTGAAGGCGGTTTGAGACAGTGTTGAGTCGCCAGGTGATAAAGAAACCTGGAAGCTATTGGCTGAATGACTGACTGTTGGCGGAGTTCGACGAACAGACAGCTGGCAATCCAGCACTTCCATGACGCCAAGCTGGCACTCAACTCAGACCCATTCGTCTTCACGGTGAATTTGGGCAATCTACTACTTCGCCCACTCCCCATATTGCTTGAAGACACTGTCTCAGTTATTCACTTACTTACAAATTCACCGACAGTCTTCCAAACTAATAATGATAACATAGATAAGAAAGAATATAAGGAATCTGTAGTTGTACCATGTTGGCAGGAGACATCTGACACCCTACGCAGCATTCCTAATAAAGCGGGGATTACAGTGGCATTTAAATCCACAGACTCACTCAAATACGTACGGCAAGCTATGTAGGTAGGTTGAAGGACTCTGTAAGTTGACCTAACCACACAAAATAATGTAATTTGCAAATCACCTTGCAAATGACTGGAAACGGCAACTACATACATCGTCGCTAGAAACATGTAGAGACTTGCTAAGCATCAGACAAGCATTCTCAATCTATCCTGCTGAGATTTCCTAGGTGATCACTTCACGTGAGCTGATGCAGGTCTCCAAATTAAGTGAAATACTCAACTTAATTATTCCGCCTCCTCCTAGCAAAAGAATCACAACAAGTACTGCATAGAATTGCGCACATTTCATTTACCAGCATAACAATCAAAAATCAACAAACACTTGAGTAGGAGAAAAAATGTATATTGAAAAATACCGAATGCATAAGATACAACAAAGATGTTTGTGTATTCGCAACCAGCATACACATACACACACAAATGTCAGCGCCTCCTTTTGCGTGAATTGCCAACACCTACAGCAGGAGTCACTGCTGCTGAATTAGTCGGTGTTTCAACCACAACATTATCTGATGAAGTTGTATGAATGTCAGACCAACGTACCGACTTTCTTGTTCGCTTTCGATTAGAAGTATCTAAATGGAAAAATCATAGATGAAAGTAATTTGCATGCATCAACAGAGTATAGAAGGAAGATGCCTTAAATTACAATGGCGGCTTTTCGTCTCATCGGTATATCTAGTAAAATAGTAACAATCGATTGTGAAGTAAACCTAAGTTGTCAGACTGAAGTCTTCTGCTGCACCTTGCACATTATTGCAAGTGGAGACCTGTCGCCGAAATCTGCATCAGAGGTTTGTTGTGACTTCAATGAGACGATATTTCATGCTGTGATATGACCTCAAGATCCATCAAACTGTGATCCTCCTCAAAACATCCAACTACGGACATTACTGGGTCATACTTTCAGTTGCAATTCACACCCACTTTAGCTTAAATAACCACACAAACACAAACACACCAGAAATGCATATCACGACCGCTTTTGTCGATCATAGTATCAATTACATACGAGAGAGACGACAGTGACTACTACTTTCCAAGCAAATGGAAAAACATCACAACATCATATTCATAAAAAGTGTCTCTCTCCAGTATTCATGCATGATCAGTCCCTTAACTGATTTCATAGAAGAAAGATCTAAATGCTGTTGTGACTTGTGCGAAGTCTTGCAAATATTCCAATCAAAACTGTCTCCTAGTCTACGAAATTCACCCAAGAGAATGATAACTCACATTCTTGAAAATTCGCATATTCCTAAGTTATATATATATATCCCTTTGAGATTGTTGGCGTTTTGTCACATAAATACCAAAAATATGACTGGAGTGTTAGTTGTAATATTGGGCTGATAGCTTACCTCCAACTGGAGATTTGGGTATAACTGTATCGCTCCGATGACCAACACGAGGAAACTTCAATTCTTTCAAGGAATCAAACTCGTCGGGTAGACTGAATTCCTTCGTTTTACCTTGAAACGGGTTTACTTCTGACTCATGCTTCACAGAAACGTTCCAATATTTTAAGAAATAGAAATTACCAGTTCTTCCATATTGAACAGGGTATCCAGCTTCTTCCAAATAGCTTCAGGAGTGATTGGTTTGCGAAGAACTGAATTCAGATAATTGCACAAGCACATCATTTCGAAATGGCGAGATACCCCAACGGGTTTGTGCTTAATTAATCCTTGGAAGAGTTGAATTTCCGATTCACAGGTCCATTCATCATATGAATCGGTCCTGTCAGCAGCCATGTGTATTCAATTCTAAGGCACTGAAAATCCAATAATCAAAATTAGAAGTATCAGAAGTAGGCGAATCGCAAGAGGCTTATATAAGAAATACTACAGAAATATTTCTCTCTTGGCTGACCAGCTTATCAAGAAGCACACGAGTGAAATAATGAGACCAAAATCATTATACACAATACTACCACTGGTCAAAAATATCTTACACAGCCAGAAGAATCCACACTACAGATAAATTAGAGGGGGGATTTCTGATTCCGTGAAAGATGCTAAAAGACAATGGCTACATTCCGAAATCCACTAGTAGGTAGGGAAGATGCAGTTCACTGGTCTAAACACTCAGTCTGCAGTCACTGGGTCCCGGCTTTCAGTCCCAATCCACCCACTTCAGCCTAGATAACTGGGTATTACCATTAGCCTTTACACATTACGTGTACTTCACAGCCCAATACTGCATATTTCAGTGGTAACTAACAAGCGATAGCAGTTAGTTATATTAGGAGAACAGAAAGTAGGGCGCACCTTCAATTTTCTCAACGCGTAGCATTAACACTATTGTTGTGTTGCTCTATTTTGACCAAACTAGTGTACACGTATACCCCAGTACTTCTTTGCGTTTATAATTGTGTCCTAACAGTGTGATTACTCGACATCCAAAACGTAAATCAAAAGGCACTCGCGAAGGAATACGATCGTGTATTACCGCAGTAATCAAAATTCAAATATTGTGCGAGTACGAAGGTATCAATTGTTAACACGCAATCTTTAGAGTGATAAACAAACCAAAGTCCAATTACATAGTGAAAGTATACTACGATGATGAGTAATAAAATGGGTCACTACACTATGTCTCAGCGGAACAGATGTTTTCAATACTACCATTGCCAGGCATCTCATCGATACAAGGTATGAGGTAGCTACCATGAAGTCCAATATCCAATATCGCTTTTACTAGCTAGTATAAACCAATTTGATTTCTTTGTGCTCGCCTCTTGATTGTGAGGTAGAGGTTCCTGATCTTCGGTAAACTTCTGCGTAGCTCGTCCCTCCACTCTACTGCCGTAGCTTTGGTTGACTCCGAATGAGTAGTGCAGGGATTAATTATATGTGGTTTGTAGTATGAGGTGTGTTTAGACTGTTACTACTGTGAATGGAGTTGATCCTTTCACCAGTTGGTCCTTCGGTATCGTCGTCAATAGAAAAGAGATAATAATAATAGATATAATTAGTGAAGGTATTCAGACTAACAGACAGAAAACGAATAAGAAAACGTAACAACAATCAGTCAACCGGTATATATATATATATCTACCAGTAATAATGATAATAATAACAGGTGTAGTTAAAGCTGTCAGGAGAGTAAGACTGAAGAGAATGTAAAGAAGTAAAACGACCAGTTTAATTGTCTACCTTTGAATTGTGTATGCGATTTCAAGGGGATAAGCCATTTGGATGAAGTCCTTGTGTCGCTGCATGGTTGTCCAGCCTTCGCTTTAAGGCGTCCACAGGCGGTGCCATAGCTAGATCTGTCGGTAAGGAATTCCAGGGACGGCAAACCCGTAGGGAAAAGAAGTGGGAGCGACACTCCTGATGACGAGCTGTACCAAGATGATCGGACTCGATTGACCTTGGTGCAAAATTGCCTTTCAGTTAGGTAGTCCTTCAAACCATGACATAAGTGGTTTACCTAAACCTACCTGGCTTATTTTGTGTAGGAGAAGGTTATGGTGAACAGTGTCAAATGCCTTCTCAAAGTCTAGAAAGATCACATGGACTGGAACATTCATAACCCAGCATGATGTCCAGTAGTCCCAGGCTGATAGTTAGCTAGTAACGCAGGATCTCCCTTTCCTGAAACCGTGTTGGGCTTCATGGAGTATTTTAGACCTATCCAGATATTCCCTGATGTGATCATCAATAATACTTTCCAGTACTTTCGATACCACTGGGAGTAGAGGTACTGGTCTATAACTTGTGGGATTTTGCCTATCCCCACGCTTGAAGATCGGAGAAAGGATGCTTCTTTTCTATTCCTTTGGCAGTTTCCCCGATTCCATGGAGTGTTGGAACAAGTCGCATAAAGGCCTACAGAGGACTTCGGCGCACTGTTTCAGAACAGATGGCCTGATGTCACCACAACTTGGGGACTTCCCAGGCATGAGTCGCTGCAGCTTTCTCAGTACTATTGCAGGGTTTATTTGGGGGGTGGCTATTTGGTCTTCCTCCTGTGAAATAGTCATGCCACCATTTTGGTCCGTAACGGTAATACCCACATTGCTGTTTACCTGTTTGGCAAAGGCTAAATTAAATATTTCAGCTATTTCCAGACTAGTGAGATATTGACCGTTTTGGCCTAAAAGTCACTTGAAATTATCAGTGGACAAAATAATTCAGCTCTCTCCGAGTTCACCGAAGCAATCGCTACCAAACAGTTGAATCCCAATTGATATTTTCAGAAAGGTACAGTCACCAGTCTTTTCTACACTCTCTTTTATTTGATTTCGTGATCCTCGGCTTTAACACATATCTCTTCGCTATAATGTAATTTTATCTTCCTGTCATTTGCACGGTGCCAGTTAAACTCGCCATTCACTCACTCATTAGTTAGTCACTGTATCCACCTTTCAGCTTTATCACACCAATATAAGCCTATTTTTGCTAGAGTTTGAGCCTCCTGTTTATGTTACGTGAGTGTAAATTCTGAGCACTGTGAATTAAGTTCGCAGTCTCTTGTCGACCGACGTTATGTAGCACTTACAGGTGCGTAAACACCATTCCTTACATAAATTTAACTTTGGGATATACACAGCTGGGCACATTCTGTGTGGCTGTGTTCCGGCTGAGTCTTTCCTCAAAAGGCTTCCTTCAACATTCACACCGTCTATCACGAGAGGTAATTAAAGTGCAGTTCTCAGTATTATGACATGAGTAAAAGATCACAGTCCTTTTACGTAAGCAATTTGGCCTAAGCTTGACTGTTATGTTTTATTTATCCGTCGTTAGACAGTGACGGCTGTGCAGTAAATAAAATGAGGGCGATACGTAAACGTCACAGAACGATAAAACTACGTCCGAGATAACATAATAGTGTCAGAATCATACTTCAAAACGAAACACCTTTCGGAACTACTGGAACGTACTATTCAACAAAATGAACACGCAGTCCGACATGTAAATTAATGAATTAATGAAAGTTTGCCACTCTACCAAACAACTAGGTACCTCTCAGGCAAAAATTCGTCACAAATTAAGCCAGTGAAGGATGACGATGGAAAGTCAATCACCGAAGAAGTGGAGCAATGGAAACAGTGGGCTGAACACTTTAAAAGACTACTAAACCGACCGCCATCTACAACGCGCCCAACAATACCAACAACGGAAGCAGAATTACCAGTGAACATCAACCCCCCGAGGAGAACAGAAGTCCTGAAGGCAATCAAGATGCTGAAAGCTGGAAAAGCAGCAGGACCAGATGGAATCCCAGCAGAGGCATTGAAAGTGGACCCAGAGACAACAGCGTACTTGATGACGCCACTACTGGAGAAGGTGTGGAAAGAAGGCAAAGTACCCGAGGACTGGAAGAAAGGATACTTATTCAAACTACCAAAGAAAGGAGACGTAAGCCAATGCAAGAACTGGCGCGGAACTATGCTCCTGTCCATCCCAAACAAAATACTAAGCCGTATCATCCTGCTGGAGAGAATCAAACATGCCAACCTGGATGAAAAACTTCGACCGGAACAGGCTGAATTCAGGAGAAACAAATCATGCGTTGATCAGATCGCCACATTACGGATCATCATTGAACAAAGCCTGGAATGGCAGTCACCTCTCTATCTCAACTTCATCGACTTTGAAAAGGCCCTCGACAGAGTCGATCGAGAGGTGATTTGGCAACTACTTCGGGGTGCCGCCGACAATTATACATCTCATCCAACAGTTGTATGACAACGCTGCATGCCAAGTAATCCACAACGGGAAGCTCACGGAATCCTTCGAAGTGAGGACAGGAGTAAGACAGGGTTGTCTACTATCACCAATGATTTTCCTGATTGCAGTAGATTGGATAATGCGACAGACAGCGGGCCGGTCAACGAGGAAACAGGCATAAAATGGACTCACACAAAGAACCTGGAGGATCTGGACTTCACCGATGATATATGTCTGATTTCCTACAAACTGGAAGATATGCAAGTGAAAAGTAACAAGTTGACAGAAGAAGCATCAAAGATAGGACTCCAGGTGAACATAGAGAAAACGGAGGTGATGAAGATTCCTGGCCAACACCAACAGCCACAGCAACAACAACAGACAGCAATCAGCATAAATGGAAGGAACCTGAAAGAAACTACCTCCTTTACCTACTTGGGAAGCATTGTTTCAACTACAGGCGGAACTGACGAGGATATCAAAGCAAGGATCGGGAAAGCAAGGCAAGCTTTCATTACTCTCAAGTCTGTGTGGAGGTCAACAGCATTCAGCGTCAAAAATAAGATCCGGATTTTTACCTCCAATGTGAAGTCAGTCAGTGCTACTCACTATGTGGATCAGAGACTTGGCCAGTGCGTCATAAACAGCATCTCAAACAAACTACAGACCTTCATCAACAGGTAGTTGTCTTCGCTCAATACCACTCAAGATCAGATGGCCGGAAAGGATCAGCAACAAAGATCTCTGGGAGCGAACCAACCAGGAACCGATTGTGAAACAAATAGGCAGGAAGAAATGGAGATGGATTGGCCACACTCTGAGGAAACCAGCAAGTGACATCACTAGACAAGCCATTGCTCCAGTGGAACCCGGAAGGGAAGCGACGAGTTGGTCGTCCAAGGGTGACCTGGAGGAGGTCAAGTGAAGAGGAGATGAAAACGTGTGGGCAGACTTGGAGCCAGGTGAAAACTCTAGCAGAGAACCGAACGCAATGGAGATACATGGCTGAAGCCCTATCTTCCTCTAGGAACTAAAGGAAATAATAGTAATGAAAGTTTGCAAATGTCATGGATGAA